AAGTTAAAATATTGTTTTCTATAGCAGCAACAATAAACAGAGGTCCACAGATAGGAAAAATAATGTAAGTTTCTCGAAGACGAAAATCTTATAATAACAAAATAGAATCATAAAAAAATCATTAGAAATAAAAGTCAACATTCATCTAAAAGAGGAAAACAAAACTAAAGATCAAATACCAATCTTTTTGGTTCCACAATTAGCAGAGAAGATAGTGAGAGATTGAGGTATAATCTGAGAACCCAATAGTGAAAGGACAGCTAGAGTAAATATAGAACCTACCTAGGTTTTCCTCTTGCAATAGAAAAGGGGGAAAAGAACTCTTTGCTTTCCCTAAACGAAAAAATACAATAAGATCATAAGATGGGATGAAAGTTGTAAAGATGAAGATGGAGAAAGATGCATGAATGGACTGTTATACAAAGTCACTTATATAAGAAAACTAAAGAGCAACCATAGGTATGAAACATTTGGGATCTGTTCAAAGAGCAACCCACCAGTACATTCTCACACAACAATAATATAAGCAGAGGCCATTTAACATCTAATGAAGAATTACTACTTAGCAAAAATACATCATGGGAACTAAAATGCATGACTACATAAAATTTAGAAACATTCAACTAATTGCATGGAATCCCGTAATCCAACAAATATAAACAACTTCGCAGAAGATGAAAAGAAGACAAGTGAATTTACCTCGATTGAGCATTATTCCTAGAATGGGAGGAATGGAGAACTTAATGGGAGAGAAAGCAAAAATAAAAAAAGCATCCGAAATAAATTTTTATAAAAAAGAATGAAAAATACTAAGTGAGCAATAAGAGAATAATTAATACACAACACTACAATCCTAATGTTTGGTTCTGTAAATTGGTTGCCAAAGCTATTGAGCAACTCTTGAGTTGAGTGGGCCCGTTTAGTTCGCTGATTCGAGTTTTTAATTTGAGTTGAGATGTGATTTTATGTGAGTTTTTTACTGTAGCAAAAAAGTTAGATGTGATTGTTTGTGAGAACTTTTGACTGTAGCAAAACTTGAATTCTAAACTCGAATTAGCGAAATGAACAGGGCCTATTGAGAGCCAGCACTTAATATATTACTATATATAAAATATTAGTAATGAATTGTAAACAGTCATACAAAACTATTGTTTTGTAACTTTATTGAAAAAAAAATAAGCTCACTTTGATTTACAATAGACTAAAATGGGATAAAAATGCAAAAAAAAAAAAAAAACATCTCTATTTGGATCATTTTTAAAAATACGAACCAACTAGTCCAATCTAAAAATCTAAACCCAACCTAGCTTGAGGTTTTTAGGTAAGACCCAAAAACATAAGTTCTGGACTAACCCGTTTAGTTCGGTCTAAACTTTCACCTCTACGTTAAATTTAACACTAACAATAACATTCTATTAAAGAGTAATTTTTCTATTCAAATGCTAAAATTTAACATTACACGTTCATTTAGCAATTTAGTGGAGATGCTCTAATAAGAGCTAAAAACAGAGAGGGAGAAAGACAAGTTTAACAATGAGCTTTCTTTTCTAGGATTTCTTTTCACGTATTTATGTACATAGGAAACTGTGAAGAGGCATAGGCTCATAATGGTTTACAGCACAACCAGAAGTATTGCATTCTAAAGTAAAGTTGAAATAAATCAGGAAAAAAGTACCGACAGAAATTTCGACGATAGGAACTGTCATTTCACTACCGGTTACGAAGAATCATCAAAACTTTAAAAGGCACATATACAGTGTCCCACCACATGAAAGATGAAACAAATCAAAACTTTAAAAGGCTAAAAAACTTGTAAATGAAACTACTAACAGACAAACTAATATAATCTAAAGCTAACTTCTTAACAACTCAAAAATCACCTACTCTGTCATAGATCATCTGTTGTCACGTAATGGTCATTTTTTCAAGAAAATATAGATTAAGGGTTATTAGACAACTTACCAGGATGTATATTCTTACAAAAATCTTGTCAGAATTGTTGTATTTGAAAAAGTCATGGAATTCCATCACAAAGAGATTACCAATTACCTCAATATCACAAATGAAGAATGTGACATGAATTTTCATCTAGTCAACTGCCATAAGTAGTTGTACAAGTGAATCGTAGAGTTTTGAAAGCAAATAATATTAGAAAAAAACTTCTGGCGAAGAAGATGAATACCTCATACGAACTTCCAAAGGAAAAAACTTTGGCAAAAACTCATGATTGTCTATCAAAAGCAAAAAAAAAAAAAAAAAAACACCAGCAACAACAACAATAACAACGACAGGCCATACAATTTATCAAAACATGCACCAAAGGCAACAAGGAAAAAAAAAAAGATTGTCCAGCAAAGAGACTCACCCAAATGAAGAACTAATAACCTGCATCAAAGGCAACAACAAAAAAAAAAACCCCACAAATGACTGAAATCCAAAAAAAATAAAGGCATTTTCTTCTTTATTTTACCTACATCAAGGAGAAATGAAAATGGAAGAAATGAGCAAGAACTCTAAAAAAGAGAAGAAGAGCGCTTTTTAACCTGCATCAAAGGCAACAAAAAAAAAACCAAAAATGACCGAAACTCAAAAAGAAAAAAAGAGGCATTTTTTTTTCTTTATTTTACCTACAACAAAGAGGAAATGAAAATGTAAGAAATGATTGAAAACCCAGAAAAGAGAAGAAATGCGCTTTTATGGGGGGCGCAAAGACTCACAACAATTTCTTAAGTTAATGGCCTCCTCTCAGAAGCTCTCATCCATATACACGTGAAACAATTATGACTTGCTATTAGCAAGGGGGCAAAAATAAATAAATAATAAAAATAAAAAAGCCAGAGAGATTATGATCTGCCTCATATTAAAAAAAATAAAGTCATAGGTGACCAAAGACTCACATCCCCAACAATTTTCCTTCATTAAAGGCTTCTTGTCACAAACCCACATCAGGCTTTCCTACAAATTCTAAGAGGATGAGGCAGATAGAGAGGAAGAAGAAAAGGAACGACAAAAAGAAAGACAAAAATAAACATCGGAAGAGAGAGAAAAACAAAGAAAAAGCAAACAAAAAAAGGCCGTGAAACGCCAACAAAATGTTTTGCAAATTCCTACTCAAAGTGTAAAACTTTTCGTAACAAAGACAGAAGAATGGAAGACAATATAAGTAAACGAAGAGTTTGAATAGTAAAACTTGAGATGAGCTACAGTAAACAAAGTGTGCCTTCTAATATAGTGATAGATAGATTATTATTATAGATCTACCAATTTCTCTCTTCATCTCAGCAACTTTAGAAGCTACAGCTAGACCAACATTTGTTCTTCTTACCTTTTCTACTCGTCCCTCCCACCCTCCTCTCTCATTTCTATTTTTCTTTTATGTATCGCTCTGCACTCTCTTGGATTATCAATATTCAAATCAGTACCAATGTTTTTCACATTGGGAGCTATATCATTTATCTTCTTTTTTCTGCATATCCCTTATCCATTTTGATAGGCTTTAGAAATCAGTACCAATGTTTTTCATATTAAGAGCTATATCTTTTTATCTTCTTTTTTCTGCATATCCCTTATCCATTTTGATAGGCTTTAGAAAGACAGGGGAGAAAACACAAGAACTCACCCTTCATGAACCCTGTATAAATACGGCTTTAAGTGTAATTGTCTGAGCAGTTTTGACATCAAATGCCCCATACGCATCTATCCAAAGGTCAATGACTTATTAGCCAAAAAATAAATGAACTTCCTTAAAAACACAATTAATCATAGAAAAATAAATATCAATCCCATGTGAGAATACTTTCAAGAATGCATAAGAAAATTAAGACTACATCATCCCTTTTCCTCAGCTCATCATGATAAACATAAGGAAAATAATTGACGAAAACAAAAAGAAAAAGAAAGAAGTAGTTAGTTTAAAACAAATGGGCAGAAAAACTTCGATGGAGCTTTATTTATAGTCTTCAGTTGTCATTAGAATTAAAAAAAAGGGAACAAAAACAAAACAAACAAACAAAAAGAGCATAGAGATATTATCTCGTAGACAGAATGAAAATCTCCTCGCCCAAGTTTGTCTTTGATGGCAAAATGTTCTGTAGTAGCTAATCCAAATCTAAAAAGTTGAAGCTAAGGAAGAAGGAACCAAAAATGCGAATTGGTCAAAGTAATAATAATCAAAATCAGAAAAATCTAATGAGAGAAGTAGTTCCTTTTTCCTTTCGCACTTCCTTTTTTAATTAATTTCACAACCAATACCTCCATCAAACCAAGGAAACAGAGGCATCCTAAATAAACAAAGAAAATATATATTACAGCTTTAACATTAATAGGAGAACCTCAAAGAAAAACTATATTACAGCTGGTGCATGCTTTCTTGTGTGGATTTGGCGCTTGCTTTTGCTCTCTTGCCAGTTTATGCATAATTCTATCTCTGTATTAGTTATCTAAAATCAAAGATTCAACATCAAATTCTAAGTATACCTATACACATAAGACTCTCCTTGGAGGCCAATTTTTGACAACAAATTAAACCAAATTAAATTAGGAAACAACCAACAAGATGACCTCGAAAGAAGAAAACTTGATTCGTGGGGGAAACCCAAGAACAACAACGACAACAACTATATTAGTTGCATACATAAACATGGAACATAACAAGTAAAATACAAAACCACCTGCAAAGTGCAAAATGTCCTCCAAAGAACAAAATTAATTGATTATAGGTGTAACGATGACAACATATCTATAAGTTGTATGCACGAACAATTATTAGAGAATGCCACCAACAATTAACGATAGATCTATCACATGCCCCTCAATTTATGAGTCACCAAGATATATCAATTAATTTATTATTGAATGAAAGAAATAGTTAACTACAAATAGACATATAGTGATTGTATCTTCACTTTTTGATGATTGATAATTTTACAGAGAGTTAAAGTAACATAGAAATGGGAAACAGAGAGCGAGCGAGAAGAAAGAAACGAGGATATCGGTGAAGAAATTAAAAAAAAATGAAGAAATGAAGAAATGAAGAAAGCAAGAATGAGGACGACTCTTTGGTCGAGAAGGCAAGAAGAGGCTTTTCATTTTTTCAACCAAAATAAACAAAACCCCAAATTAGAAAAGAAATCATAAGATAAGGAGAGAAGAAAGAAGAAAAGTCATACAATTTTCAACAAAACGGAACTGTTGAAACCTGCCATACAATTTTCAACAAAAGGTGCTCCCACAAACTGGAAAATATCAAGCTGCAATAGAAAGTTGAACAAACCCAGTCATCTAATGAATAATTTTCATTTAAGAATCTGGTGAAACTCACTTCGTCATGAAGACCTTACCTGTGTTGCTTCTGTGTCTATAATTGAATCGAATGTGAAAGTTAGCCCATTGATTGTCAAATAAATTGGAAATTTTCTGACCTAATTTCTTCTTCATCCCTGTATTTGCGCGGTGGCCTCATTCACACTACTACCTAAAATCCCATAATAGGATTAGGAATTTTAGTAATAATGAAGATTCTGAGATTGAACATGCAAGGAAAAGAAAAGACACAAATGTGAAACTTCAATAAGTTTAGAATTTGGGGAAAAAACTTTAGAAGCTGACCATATAGCTATTTACAGGAAAATATGATAACTTTCCTTAATAAAACTCATTTTCCTTAGCAACACAAAATTCAACACATTTTTCTTTGTAGAACCTAAATATCCTTTTTGGATTCTAAAGATTTTTAGAAGAAAGAAATGTCAAATGGGATAATTGCATCAACGACATACAATTAGAAACCTTAAAAGAGTTAAATTATACAAACAATTTGAATAAATGGAAAAAAATCTAATAAACAAATCAAATCAAATCTTTAAAAGGCTAAGAAACTTGTAAATGAAACTACTAATAAACAAACTAAGATAATCTAAAGCCAACTGCTTAGCAACTCAAAAATCACCTACTCTATCATAGATTATATGTTGTCAAGTAATGGTCAAATTTTTCAAGAAAATCTAGATTACGGGGTATTGGATAACTTACCAAGATGTATATTCTTATAAAAATCTTGTCAGAATTAATGTATTTGAAAAAGGCATGGAATTCCATCACAAAAAGATTACCAAATACCTCAATATCACAAATGAAGAATGTGACATGCATTTTCATCTAGTCAACTGCCATAAGTAGTTGTACAAGCGAATCATAGAGTTTTTAGGCAAAAATACCAAGAGCCAGCCGTGATAACCTCATAATTTCACATAATTAAAACACAAAAACAAAATTAACTACTTCAAAGCTTAGAATTTGTCACATGCATATAAAATAAAAACAAGGTTTTGTAAGAGTAAAGAGATGAAAAGAAAACCTTTTCCAAGAAAAGTGAACAAATGGTAGGATTATCATAAGCTTATGATGAATCCTTCATACGAACTTTCAAAGGAACAACCTTTATCAAAAACTCATGATCGTCTATTAAAAAAACACAAAAAAAAAAAAAAAACAACAGCAACAACAACAATAACAACGACAGACCATACAATTTATCCAAACCTGCATCAAAGGCAACAAAAAAAAAAGATCGTCCAGCATAGAGAATCACCCAAATGAAGAATGACTAATAACCTGCATCAAAGGCAACAAAAAAAATAACCACAAATGACCAAACCCCAAAAAAAGATAGGCATTTCTATTTATTTATTTTACCTACATCAAAGAGGAAATGACAATGGAAGAAATGATCGAAAACCCTAAAAAAGAGAAGAAGAGCGCTTTTTAACAAGAAAAAACCCACAAACGACCAAAACCCAAAAAGGAGGCTTTTAAACATGCAAGTTCCTACTCGCGCACAAAACTTTTCGTTGATTCCCTCCTTAGAAAAGGATCGACAAATTTTAACAATACAAGAAAGGAAGTAAGACAAAATAAGTAAACGAAGAGTTTTGAATAATAAAACGTGAGAGGAGCTACATTAAACAGAAAGTGCTATCTAATATAGTTATAGATAATTAAATTATTATTATAGATCAACCAATTTTTTACTACTTTTTTTCCTTTGCTTTCCTTTTTCCCCCTCACACTCACTTGGTTTCATTCTTTTCAGCCTTGTCTTCTTCCATTTCATACTCTTTTTCTCTCTTTTCTTTACTTGTATTCTCACAGCGAAAAAAAAAGACAACTGTCAGTCTAATTCTAAGATCTCAGTAACTTTGGAAGCTACAGCTAGACCAACATTTGTTCTTCTTACCATCTTTACTCTTCCCTCCCTTCCTAACTCCCCCCACTCTCTCTCTTTTCTATTTTTTTTATTTTTCTTTTACGTATCTCTCTCTCTCTCTTTTTATCCCCTTTCATTCTTACCATTTTTTATTTTTTTCCTTTTTTTATTTTTTTCCCTCTTTTCCTTTAGTTTTTTTCTTTCTTTTTATTTTTCTTTTTGTTATCTCTTATTTTTCTTGTTGCTCTTCACTATTTTCTTTTCTTAGTATACACAATTGGTTCAAACTCATATAAGATGCAATAAGGAATAACAGCAAACCTTGTTTAGGTGACTTTTTTCACTACCAACAGTCGTCATAAATTTTATCTCATTACCACCAACTACAGAACATGCATTCGTGACAACATAAAGGAAGCTTATCAAAATCTGTGACAAAGAAGAGAAGCAAAATTTGAATGTGAGAGACAGCGAGACTACATCCAAAAAGTTTAATTTGATAGCTAAAAGAAATTAATAACACTTAAAAGCCTACAGTTGATATACATATAGTTGTAGAGGAATACTACAAGTCTACAATCACATAGTTTGGTTTTCACCAAATCCGTCATCACGCGTACCTTGTACAATGCTGAACGGGCAGCTTCTCCCTCTGTCTCTGCCTTCCTTTTAACATTTGCTGCAATCAAATTTTCTATTAAGATTCAAACCTTCTTGTTGTTACATTTCACGTTCCACTTTCTGGATCCATTTCTCAACCTATCCTAAACCATATACCACATTCTTTATACTATTTTTCAGTAACTATTGTGCAAAAGAACAAAGATAGACATATTCATCTCCGTTTAGCAACCCCTTTTTCAATAGCCCTTTTTATTCCACTGTCTACCAGTCAATATCCATTGTGCCACAAAAGCCAAATGATTATTCCCCTTTCACTATATCCTTTTTCTCCTTTCCACCCTTTTTTTCATTTCTAACTTTTTGTCCTTTTTGTTTCTTTTTTCTTTGCTTTCGTTGTGGCTTCAAGAACTGAGAACTTTTCTACAATAGAAGAAGGATATGTAAGTGTTAAACTTCTAGTTTCAAGTAGAGAAAAAACAAAAACAAAAACAAACAACGCATACCAGTTTATTGAGAGGAAAAAAAAAGAAAAAAAAAAGAGGAGAACAAAGGAATTAAATACAACGTTAGAATGCACATCGACACATTGGAGCACATAAACTTCATCTCAGTATCGCCAATAGCAGGGAATGCATTTCTCGTAGCATAAGAAAGTAAAATCTGTGCCGAGAAAGAAAGGACGCATAAACAAGCTATTAATAGAACATATATAAGGAAATGTGCTCAATAAAAAAAATTGTTCTCAATGTAACAGATGAAACTCAGATGCAACTGAGATAAAAAAAAAAAAGAAAAAAGAAAAAAGAAAAAAAAGGGTTCTCAATAAAAAGAAAAATCATTTATTGTTGTAAAATTTTGCTCATATGTTAAGCTGAAATATAGCTAGCCCTATAAGATGACCTTAATGTAACGGAAGACACTTAGATGTAACTGACTGAATGCATGATTCATTTTAGCACGTGAATGCTAAAATGAACAGTAGTGAGGATTTCCTTCATGATCGAACAGGTGTGAAGTAAGCTTATCTGCTTCAGAAATATGGAGTAGACGAGAAGTGTTATGATGATAAAATTTGTTACACAAAGCTACAAACAAGTGACGTAGAGCATAAAACATATAAAGAATAAACTGTACCACCCTCAAGAGGATCGTTTCTTCACCCCTTTATACAAATTTGAAAATTTCCAAAATGCTTGAATCTGCTCTAGTAATATTTTTGCACGATATGACCAATAGGAATTGAAATAGGAGAAAAAATAGAGAAGCTCCATTTGCCTGCCTCCACTATCGATAGGAGATTATGATTTCCTTAAATTTGAAACCAAAAGAGAAATCAAATAGAGAATTAATACAAGAATATTAAATTTTATAATATGCAACACACCGTCACCCACAAATAATACTCATACTACTCTTGTCATTGATCGTTTTCATTATTTGTTTTTTCTTTTTTTTTTTTAAAAAAGCATGCAGTCTCCCATAAAAATTTAAAAAGCAATTGCAGAGCATTGTTGTGACAGCAATAATAGTTCATACCTCTATCTCTTTCTAAATGCCCATGCACCTCGGAGGCAAGGCCTGTACAAAAGACGACTATTTATTTGGTAAACAAAACACACAAAAATAATGAGAAATAGAAAAACACAAAGCAACACTTAAGAGTTAATTCAATAAAAAAAAAAAAAAAGAACCGTAAATATTAGTTAAATATAAAACACTTAAAAATACCAACAAAGTAATAGTCAAGAATCAATTTGATAAAAGAGAAATGACATCAAGGCATGGCATAATACATCAAACTTTGCACCACACACTTTTTGACTGCAATAACATACCAATACTACCTCCATTAATTTTCAAGCCACCAGATTTTTTGTTCACATTTGTCACGCCCCTAAACCGGGGTTAGTGACGTGGAGGCTCGTTTAGAAACTTAAACCTGTTTGGGAAAGAGTGATTAGCAAAATAATTTAATTCCTTTCAAATCCAAAACATTCAGGTATTTCCAAACGAGCCCCTGCATTCAAGAGAAATTTAATTTCAAGAACAGTGGTGGAATTTCCAACCAAACCAGTTTTAAAACCACATCACTGGTATCATGTCAGGAATTCCCACAGGTGTTTAGCATACATGAATATAAACATAAGTAAATGTGACATCAACCACAATCTAGCAACATTTAAGTTTACAAACCATAATCTCTTATACATGCCTTGAAATAAAAGATAGGAGGGTTACAACTCTTTGCTTCCCGAGATCAAGTCCACACCACCGGTAATAGCTACCTATTCCGCACCACTCCTCGCGTCGCCTAGAGGGGTTTAATACATTTAAAAACAGAAAAAGGCGAGCGAAAGGCCCAGTAAGATATAAATTTTATAAAGCATTTAAAATAAAGATACTCACGGTCCGAAGATATACATCCGGAACCGATCATCCCTTTTTAGAAAAGGAAATACTCACAATAGAAAATATTTGTATAATGAAAGTGTGCAACTCATCATACCACTAAACAAGAAGCGGTAAAAATGTCTGTCTAAGAAAAGTGCAGAGCCATCATTCCACTAAACAAGAAGCGGATCCGTACGGG